AGGTGTAGTTTGAAAAACAGTCCTAATCGGTCATTTAGAGTCAAGTACTTGGGTCACAATACTTTTTTTTTCTTTTTTTTTTTTTCATCAGACCAAGTCATACTAATGTGCTCAGACTAAGGCGTGATCATTTTATTAAATTTTGAATACTTAAATAAAATTTGTTTACCTAAACAAGGTTCTTCCATTTGACTGAACCAATTTATCATTTATCTCTATTCGGTACTGCAACATGGAGAAAAAATATTTTCTGATTTCTAACTAATAAAAGCAATAAATTTTAGACACGAATGTTTATTGTTAAGTCTTAAAAATAACATTTTCCTCTCTCGGGGTGTTTTTCGTGACATTTGGACGTTAACAGCGCCCTTGATAGGAAAAATAGCGTTTGACACACAATTTTTTGTTTGTATGACTTTTTGTTAATTGAAAATTATAAGTAGTAATGAGAAAAAAAATTGTTTAACCCCAAATAAAGCATTACACTTGTAGCAAAAAATTATACTCAACAAAAAAGTTAGAAAAGTTTCCGTGTCTCAACATACGTACGCTAAGCCACTTAATATATATCGTTTCACGTAGGTTAGTCAGTTAAAACGTGGGCTTCTCTAATTCTCTTATAGTCGTTCGAATCATTTCATGTAAAATATCTCCAATTCTACATATAAACACTGAGAAGTCATTAAAATAGACTTTATAAAGTATAAAAGTATTCGATGAATTGATATATATTTTTTAGCAGTCCTTGGAAGTACACTAACACTACCCAAAATCTTTCATAGAAAATAACCATGAAAACATGATAAAAATCGATCACCTATAATCTATTAATTAGGGTTGGATACCATAAGCCACTATCTACTACACATTACATAAATCCACATTTTTACCCCTAATGAAGTGTCACTCGTGCAAAAAATTAATTCGCTCGCCAACCACCGTCACTTTCTCCACACGTCCACAGTTAATGTATATACCGATACAATTAACACACATCTTTATTACAGAGAAACCTAATCACATTATCGCAACCCCCTCCTCCCTCATATTACTCTTGAGAGCCGATTTCACATCGTCGATAGTGAAATCGTTCGCTTCGAGTCACTTCTTTTCTCACCGTTCGGCTTATGTGATTTTTGCGCAAAAAATCCAAATGATTTACGACTCTATACAACAGGCGCTTGCCATTCAATTGTACGCGCACGCAAGTGCCGGAGAAGGTACTTGTGTACCATGCGATGATTTTTAACGAGTAATACAAAAGAGACTCACAAGTGGTAGAAAACAACAATAACGTCCCAATCGTCGTGAATCGTTTTCTTTTTGCAACTCTATTTCGCTCGAGTGCAAACAATGGGCTGCGTAATTGAGCGGTACCTCTTGGAGACTAATCTTTTTTTTTTTTTTTTTTTTTTTTTTCATCACGGTATAATGTACCGTAGACGAAAAAATTGACAAAACGCGACGTGTCTCGAGTACATATTGCCGGTGGATCGAGTTCTTGCGGAAACGATAAAAGCATCACGTTTAAATTAATATTTTGGGACCACCCACTCGTAGAACGAGAATACAAAGTGTCTCATTGTCGTCTGTAATGTGTATGTATTTATGCGTGAATTTATAGAAACTTTTTTTTTTATTATTATTACTGCATTTATATTCAGCACGATTTATGCGGTGTAACAATACGTGATAATTCAACGATTCCGTCTTCGACTGATTGGTATTGCCTAATGGATCATTGCTTTTTCAAGAGTTAAGTGTGCTTTGATAATTAAAAATAAAAATACAATAGTACTTGCCTTACTGCAATATGATTTTCTTTTAATTCGAAATAAACTGAATAGATTGTTAGGGAATAAAAAAAAAATCCTCCATCATCGGCATTTTATATCCTTCCAATGTCTTCTTCGTCAATTGGTCTTCAACACCTTATTTTCGTTGATCCTCAAACATGTAGTGTATCAATTTCGCTATGGCAATCAACACGTGCGTAATTGCCACAGGGATAATTGATACTGTCTGTTTCTGATTTGTAAATTACTGTACATTAAAGTAGAATGTAAAAATAAATTTCGATTGTTTCACTCCAAATGTATGACAACGAACAATTAATGTATGAAACCCCAGATAAAAGTTTTTTTATTAATTTTTTTAAGTTTTTGACAAATGTAGTTTAGAAAGAAAAAAATATTTTTTAATTATTTAAATTATCTGCTTAACAAAAAATTCATTCACCATCTACATGTCATAGTTCACCTGTTCCAATGCTATGAAAAATTTAACAATCTCGAAAAGTATGTATATATGTACGCATTTTGTACGCGTATTATTTTTATACCTTTTGTTATATTTTAAACTTTCAGTTTTCGTTCGATAATTTGTAACTCTATTTCTACTACAGTTTTTCGCTTATCTTTTCAATTATGTTAATAATTTGATTTCTCAGTCTGCCTATTGAATTTTCGCTAAAGCCTAGATAATTGGAAAATGTTCTTTAATTACTTAGTCCAATTAATATATTATTGTCATTTTGTGTAAAAAATCAGTACCTTTCCCAAAATCACCACCAAGTTTAAAAAACTTTAAGTTAAAAATATTTTAAACAACGATAATTTTACTCTTTGATTTTTAAATTGTTTCAAGACTATGCATAGGTCAACTTACCAGTAAAAACGAGAACTAAAAAAAAATTGCGTTTGACATAATGTTACATAATCATGTTTTATACCAGCATGTAAAACATAGAACAATTTTTTTATATTAATTTCATTGGCAACATGTTTGATCATTTACCTGAAGCTAGTAAAACATTGAATGTAAAAACCAAACGCAAGGTCGATAGCTTCTTACACCACAATTAATTATATCACACGTGCGAACGGAGAGTTAAAAAAAAAAAAAACAAACGCTTCACGATAATGCGGGCGTGACAGAGTTGACAGACAGAGAGAGATAGTCTCGACGAAAAAAAAACGAGCACGAATAGCGATAAGGCCACTTTTGGTCGATAAGAAGCGCCGAACTACCGTCAGCCTTCGGTTTTTTTTTTTTTTTTTTTTTTTCGTCAGTCTAAGCTCTTTTCTCGAGCTCGCGTGGTCGTGTGAGCTTGAGATTTTCCTTTTTCGTGTCTACAATGTATCATCCATAAGTGAAGTGTCCGTAGTGGTTTTTACAAAAAAGCACGCAAAGTCTCACCCAAAAATTTTGTTTTAACTCACGAAACGTTTGTCCACACAAAAGTGCCAACGTAATTTGTCTTACGAAGACCCTGGATCTTTATTAAAGATGTTGAGTAGAGATCACCATCTAGGGTCGACTATTTTTTGCCAAAGCACCTGAGAAATTCGAGGAATCCGGTGAGTAAGATAACGCCTGCTTGTACGATCTGCTTTGATAATCCCGCACTGCCGAACCGACGAATGATTGAAAAAAAAAAAAAAAAAAAAAAAAAGTAAAAGCACACGAGGATGCGAAAAAAAATCCAAACGCACTCACCACGGACTTTCTATGTATAAGCCGTAAAGCGCTGGCTTTCGCGCGTACGGCTCGGCTAATGACCCATTACGAGTCAATTACAGCTTCCTCGTCGCGCTATCGGCAAAAACCCATATAATCGCGTTTCACGCGCTTTGGGCCCGACCCCCTCCACCGTGTTATTTCCACGCGGCAAATGAGCTTATTAACGCGTCACGGAGTTACTTATCTTTTCGTCGGATGTTTCAAAATACTAATAGTTTAACCTCGACGCAAGGTCTTGTCCGATGAATTTTGTAGTGCCATTTACTGTACACTTGCTCGTGTCTGCGATAATTTGATTTTAAAATTATTGCAACCATTGAAATTATTTTAACATTTTTACATCAGCAAAAATGACGAAACGTAAGATGAAAGGGATAAAAAAATATCAAAGTGTTTTCAGATGTATCCCATATACTGTAATTATTGAGAAAAAAAAGGGGAAAATTAATAAAATACATCAACAAATCATAACAATCCAACAAAACTTTTTTTTTTTTTTTTCATCTCCTCGTAAAAAATGTCTATTTGCCGCCTTTCCATCACTTTCTCTCATCGGATCGATCATCTTTTGACGAGGGCATGAAAGTTTTTCCCTTTCCTCAAAAAATCCATCCAAAACAAAAACCAAAGCACCTCTAGCCATTTGCACCGGAGCGCAGCAACCGCATCGTCGGCGCAAAAAAAAAAAAAAGGCGAGGAAGGAAGAAACAGATCAGAATAAATACTACCAGCGCGCGAGAGTGAAATTCGCGACTAATTATCCACGCGCTTCCTTTCTCCTCCTCCTCTGCAGCTCGGGATTTAACGCACCGCGCCGTGATTATACTCGAGGCGCAACGAAGCGCGGGAGGTTCTGCGGATTGTTATTTACGCTGTGCTGGCTCGATGATGATCGCCTCGATAGCTGATTTGTTGAAGAAACCGAACGCAGAGTAAATCATAAATTCTCTATTTCATACCTTCCTAATGGCCACTCGGTCGATTAACGACTCGGGTGTAATTTGTGCACAATAGGTTTTAGTCCGCAACTAGCACTTGTTTGGTCGTTAATGTGTTGAAAGTATACACGTATATGCAATGATTGGAGGGTTTGGATTTTATTGTGTTTGGAAAGTACAGGATTTTTCCTTACATTGTACTCGTAGCACGAATTAACAACATTTTGCTGTTGGTGTGAAGAACTTTTTTCTACAAAATTCTAGAAGATACAATTTTCTGGTCTTTGGTGTTTTTTCTCTGCACTATGGCCAGAAAGTGCTAGGAAAATTTAGTATTTGCACAACAAATCAAGCACTTTGCTAAAAGTTGAACTTAGTTTTTGTAAACTGAAACAAGAAAAGTAAAAATAATCTGATTTTCACACTTGTTTTAAAATATACTATTGTAAAATATTGCAATAAAATTAAAATCTTACGAAAACAGCCCAAGACATATCTCAAAAAATGACAATAATGATGGTATAATTTTGGCTGTTACAGAGGATCCCGAGCTGTCCTGTCAAGGTTCACAGTCCACAGCCTCTGAAGGATTTTGTGGGCCGCTGTCAGACCATGCCATCGAGAGTAAAGAAGTCCTTTTGCGGATGCCTGCAGGTAAACATTTTTTTTGTGCTTTCGATTAAAATTTTCTCGCCCAGGAATTCCCATGTGTTTTGTTGAATACGTAGAGTACAGTCAACTCGGGGTTTAGTTGAAATTTTTATTTTTTGAAGACAACAAAGTTATTAAGATTTGTTTGAACCGAATATACACAAATTAACGGACAATACGAAGGGTATAATAAAGAAATAAATTTAAATAATTTACACGTTTTATTTTATTGCTGATTGCCAAAGATTTTTCGTCAGGTCCTATTGCAGGTTTTGCTAAGCCCTAAAGAAGATGTCCGTAAGACAAAAAATAAATAATAGCTCAGCTCCCAAAAATCTAGATGTTATCTTAGTTATTTTATTTGTACATTCGCTATAGTTACTAGTGCTCGTAAATAAGATATAAACCAAAAAATCGACAAATGTTCAGGTTACAAAAGTCGAGCATTTTTGTAGGTTAGAAGAGATGGATAAGTCAGCTTGGGCTTCTCAAAAAAAGTGAACGAGTTGCGTGCATGTAAATTTTTCAACTATTTTTTTTAGGACTGAATATAGCTTTAGATGAAATCAACGCGTCTGACACATCCGACTGTTTCTACTGATCTACGAAACATTACATCCGTTTGAGATTTCATTTTTAATTTCAGCTAAAATAACTTCGATAAAACAACTGCAGAACCAGACGTTGACGTGCAAACTTACAAAAAAAAAAAAAAAGAATCTGTATCGGTCAATTTGATTGACGATTTCAAAATATGGTTTCGAGAACTTTTAATCGTAGCCCCTCGTTAGCGACGTTGGGAAGGACAAGGAAATTAAAAATCGAAAGATTTCGAGATAAGACCAATAAAACGTTAGATAGCCACTCGCGTATTAACTACTCGGGCAGACCAAACGAGCCAGGAAGCACGTAGCATCTAAAAAATATTTACCCAATTTATTTCCAAAACATTGCAAGGCATCAAATGAGCAATGAAAAGCCAAGGAAACCACAGTTTTGAATATTTGGGAGTTCACAGCAAGACAAAAACGTCTCCAATAAGTAACTGCGTTTAAAAACGAAAAATCGGTGGGAAGGCAAACTCGTGTCCACTTCCTCGTGACATTGGTAATATCGGAAACGACTCGTCGAGTGGTCCAATGATCGGAAAAACGGGCTCGCCTCAAATCGATATCCCAACCCGCGCTTCCGTCCCATTAATATTCTCCCCCCGAACGCAAGCCACCGACGACTCGATCCAATTACGTCCCCCGGGTACGGAGAAACGCCTTCCGCAACATAGCCTATACGCGGGACCCTCTTTCACTTCTCAAAGGAGCGCGCGGCGCTTGGATGTCAAAATAATAGCTCGGCAAAATCGAGGACCCGTCGATGAAACCGCAATTAATAGGCCCACGCGCTCGTGCACGCGTACGTCCGATTCACGGTCTCACTTTCACTTTGCGCGAGTGAAACTCATCGTCACTGTAGGTACACGGAGAGTTTTACGGGGATGCGCGTTTTATCCTCACCTCGTGAGCAGGTGTGATGCTTCAAACGAGCTGTTTACTCGGTCTCGCCTTTGTCTTTGTACAGCCATTTGTTGTACGCGCACCGGTGATAAATGCACGAGTGTTATATACCGTACCTTCCTCGGTCTTGGGTGTGGGAGGTACATGAAAATTATCACCACCCGGCACCGTGTTGGTATCGATGAAACTTGGTTCGGCAAATTGTCTGATTCGATGGTCGATAAGATTGTCGGTGAAATATTTCCCACGTTGAGAAGGAAAAAAAAAAAGTGCGGCGAAGCAGAATTTTTGCATGGTTTCACAAACGACTCCCGACATATACCGAGTGGAACCAAACGTTGGAAATCGTGTCTGTGTCTCTTTGGGTGTTTTTTTTCGATTTTTTTTTTTTTTCGACGAGTCGTTGGGTCCCATTCAACGTGATTTGGTCTGCTTTCGAGGAAAGGCGCACGAATCGGATCGCGTCATGATCTGGATGACGATGGCGCGCTGCTCCGTACAGACTTCCGGGTTGTCCGATAAATCGGTTCGCGATTGCGTCACGTGTCTTTGAATTTTTTTTCTTTTCCTCCTTTTGTTTCGCAGAAGCAGAACAATGTTTCGATCCTCGACGAAAGGGTATATTGTACAAAAAATGGTAAAGCTAATGTACGAAATGGCAAAATCATTATAGCATGACATTTTTTGTAGCTAACACGAGCAGTAAAAAAAAAAAAACATTCGACGAAAGTATCTTAATTAAGCTCAAAGACGGGGTAAACACGTCCGATATTACAGTCGTAAGATATTCCAATTAATGCCGAGCGATCGGTTCGACTGATGTTATTTATTTAGCGTAAATTACATGTCCGATTGGCTTAGAGTAGCTTTAAAAACGATGGTGTACAACGAGAAGTTGCATGATCACGTAGAGTTATTTTTTTCAAATCGTGGAGTGTATGGAAAAAATGTTTGTTGGCTCGTTTGAATGCGGGACGAGTTTCGCAACTAAACATTTCGATGTAAATTACATGGTCGTTGCGTACAACACGGATAACCTACTTTTTTGATAATATTTATCCCAATCTCCATCCGATTAGATAAATTCATCGAAATAAAAATAGAGACTCATTAAAGATATAAGTGCTCTAGATTCTAAAACAACAAATACAAGTAAATATCAACAGTCGCTCACGAGTAGCAGTCTTTATAAAAAAAACTCGACACCCTCATTCCAACAAAAAAGAGATAAAGAAGCCCTTAGTATCGTATAGCTGTGAGATCGTATTACCAACGGGATGTGAAGGGCGTCTTGAGAACTAAATTTGTTTCTTGAAATCGAAAAGGTTTCGCTGTCCCAGGTCAAAAAGTTCAAATGACGTTTTGATGGGGTTCGTCGAAGCTATGGTATTTGTTGCTTATTTTCTATCTTTAAGTCAGTAAAAACTTTATCTATTTCCAATCGATTTTCATATTCCTAATTTCAATGGCTCGTCTTGGATGTAATATTTCATCTTACCTTCAAAACTTAGGCACGAGTGATGATACTTCTTTATGTGCTCTATTGGGAATCAAGGAGGTGGAGGGGGAGACGGGTACGTTTGTTTTTTCCTTATCTCAATCGAGAGATGAAAGAGAACAAGAAGAAGAAGAGGCGCGCTCCTCTCGAGTGTGCCAAACAATGGAGCCTATGCGCCTCTCTCCCTCTGTTTGTCTCTATAGAGGCGTACGATTGTGAAAGGGAATTAGGCGCATGTAAATATTCGCGCAGCTTTGGAGCCATTGGTATGTTTATGTGTGAGTTTTTTGGTTAATTTAAGGTGGAATGGGGACGTGGCTTACATAATTTGGAACGTAAGGTGACGATTTTCATGGATCATTGCATATTAGTTTGAGTTGGGATGGGGTAGCTTTGAGATTAAGTGTACCATTGAAATGGACGTGAATGTTAATATAAGGAAGTTCTGATTTATTTGCAGGATACTATTATGGTTTAGAGTTTTAATATATATAAAAGTGTCATGATCCACGCGACAAGTACTTATATACTTATCTTCAGTATTTAAGTTCAAACTTTGTCATCGTCAGTATATTTTAGGATCACTAACGTCTTGAACCATACTTTTTTCTTGTTCCAAGAACCACACTCCATCAACTGAACAATATGTCAGTTGGTATACTCATATTAATATAACAAAATTAATGTCAACGAGTCTGTCATACATATTTATATGGTATTCTGTATAAGTCAAATTATCAAGTTCTCGTCCCATCCCAAACCTGTGTAACGTTGGTAAATATTAATCTATAGGTAAAAATATAAACGTCTTGATTTTTAACTCATGTGAGGGTTGAAAGTTCTTTTCCAACCAAATTTCATGTCTCAAGTTATATGTCAGTAATTATTTTCTGATTCGATTAAAAATTGTAAATCTTCCAACCTGTCCCATTGCGTTTCAAACATGTTTATCTAAAAAAAAAGACTTTACCTGTACACTTACGTAGCTTGACAAAAGATGCATCAAATGAAGACTTTCAATTTATATAATGTTTCGTTAAATCGTACAATTTTCCGTGTTCAGATATTTTCCATACTCATATAACTCAAGAGAATCATCGCGATGTTCGTAATCTGCCATTGAATTTTTAGTTTATCAATTTTTAGTTTATCGATCAACTTGATAAACAACAAAAAAATGTCAATGAGGAGTAAAGCACAAAAATATCTCATGCAAAGAGGTAACGTCTAAAAAAGCATAATCGCCGCACATCGTGAATTTCCCATTTAGTTCAGGTAACTGCATCCGCATCACGTACACGTGCCATCTCATCCTCGTAACCCAGTTCTCCGATCACGAATGTCAACTGCATGAAAAAACAACGGCTCCCAAAAATATTCAAATTCATCACAAAAATGAAATTCTTAACGCGAATCAGAGCACCACGTATACGATAAATCGCGTGTTCCAGTACACGTCACGTATAGACACAGTGTACATAAAAGTGCACACACAGTTTGCAACAGTCACGTGTGAAAGTAACTAGGTATGTACCTACGTGGAACCCAATCCCAGAGCAGTCGTGACCTTTGCGATGCAGGCGCGCTTGATTACATTAGACGCGCGACTCTCCCCCGATTATATTTTGATTATTCAACGACACGATGACCCGGCTCGGATAGAACGTGTTCCTTAGCGTATTGGAGAGACGCGGGGCGATTGATGCGCCTCCGCGTGTGCTCCTTTGTGCTCCGGGATCGAGCATACGTTGGCTTTATTTTGCGATTAAAACTTTTTTTTCTTCTTTTTCTTCTTTTTCTCTCTCTTCGCCGACAAGTGGGACTTGATGGGGACACACTTTCGAGCGTATACACAGGCATCTTGTCGGTCTATTTCTGGAGAAGTAGGCTCGGAGGAGGAGAGCAACACGTTGAATGATAATGGGATATTTGAGTGGCTTTTTTCCCATTTGCATGAACGTGATGTAATTCTAAAGTCATGGTTTTCCACCCAGTGGGTCAAAAGTTCCATGCCTTTCAAGAATTTTCCATCTCTGGTATTTGGGGAGCGCGTCGTCGTCGTTGTTTTTTTTTTTTTTTTTTCGCGCAGTCGAAAGTCATCAGATACGGGGGAAAATAATGGAGGCGTACAAACAATACGAGGTGCGCTCTAATATGCATTTGAATTCCAGGATTATCGCGAGGGTTTTATTTACTTTTGAATACCATCTCCTCCGTTCATTTAATTGTGCAGGAGTTGTAAGAAGAACATGGGTTTTTTTTTTTTTTTTTTGCGAAAGGGACAGTAGTTTATTGAGTAGTTTTTTCAATTGATAAAGTATACTGTGCATTCCTCGTAATTATTTAAACCGAAGAAGACTTATACGACTGGAGTGGATGTATATTTATATTTTAAAAACTGGAAGAAAGCGAGACGGCGATCAGTTTTACCGAAGCAATGAAAACAACTTTACGTTTAATAAAATGTTTCCAGTCCATCGCGCCGGTGCTTGTGTTGCGCTTAAGTTTTATTGTAATCCGCAATTTAGAGTTTTGAAGCGCGCAAATAGATGTCTTACGAGTGATAAACAAACGGAGTCCAACAAACTTAAGCTATCCATTCCAGCTTAGGGAAATTGAAACTTGAATCACCAACTCTTACTCAATCTTATTATATATTGCTGCATCTCTAATTCAGTTGTGCAAAATTTATTCACTACTTTTTTTTCTAAATATTTTATTTATTTATTTATTTATATTATGGTCTTGTAATTCTCTGAAAAATGTTGAGCAAAGACTCTAGCTGACAAGTTATTGTTTGATAATTACATAGGTATTTTAACAACCCCCATGTGGTTAAACTGTGGATTAGTGCGGTTTGACATTGACGGTGGTTGTAGATTGCTCGGGAGCTTGCAAGTCTCATTACAGTTTATAAATAAAAACGATTTCTGTTTTTATTAATTTATAAACGATATTTTGGTATCAACATGGGTACTTTTCCATCGAAATCCCACTGATGATTCCACCACGACCTATGCCGTAATTGAGTAAGAATTATAAAATATTAAATATTAATCAAATAGGAAGAAAGTCAAGCATGGTGTAGTAGTAATAAATTGCAGTTAATATGTACACAATAAATACTGTGGTATGGTAGTAAAATACATTAAAATAGAGTAAAAATTTGTTAATAAATAACTTGCTTCGAGAACACTTTTACATATAGTAGAGCATAGATACAAAATTAATGTAGACACAAACAAAATATGCACATTCGTCTGAAAAAATTTTTCTCTCATTCGCAAACATTGGGTTCATTATCGCGAGCAACCTGTCAGCTCAATCGTTCAAGTGTCCTCAACTCCAAGCAAAAGCAAGCGTATCCTCAAATTAACCCATTCGCGACTCAGAGGCGCATTCCGTCATTGTCGACAACGTCGGGCATTGTCGTTTGCTCGGAAACGACCTCCAGAGTCGTGGCTCTAAAACAACAAGGCCATCGCCGATGTCGACGCATTTCCTTCGTGGAATCCGTAAAACTCTATGCACACTCGACTGCCTCTGTAATTTTGCAATGCCGAGCTTTTCTTCCTTTGTGGGATCACTCGGAGACATCCATCTTCGGTTCATGAACGACGAAGCGCGTCGGGGAAGACGCTCATTTGTGCATGCGAATTCCTTACTTGGAAAAAGAACCTTACTTACTTAAACCAAAGATATTTTTATCGGAGGAGGCAAAAATTTGTTGCTTTATTTAAGGAAGTTTTACGTACAGGTGGAACTTTTATCTTGAAACTTTACGGCAAAAAGATTTCGCGGATTCCTCTTTATCGCCCTTTCTCATGAAACGCAAATGAAGTCACAGGCAATTACCGTTTCATCGAAAGTCGGCTAAAAACCGATTATTCTCAAGCAACGTGGAGGAAGAACCCACTTACAATGATCATTAACAGAAAACTTCATCTCACTTAAGCTCAAATTGATGCTGCACTTTGTTTTAAATTTCGTCGTATAAAAATAACAGCACGTACCGCTTTAATATAATTAAACGCGGAGCGAGCACTTATTTGTTTCGCAAAAGTTTTACTACCAATTTAAGGTACCTTTTTCACCGTTTTCATTTTTTTTTAGGGAGGGGTGATGTTACGTTTTTACGAGTCGAAAGCGGCCGCGATTTTTTGGCGATGCGATGGCCACTAAACCGCAGCACAACTGGGCACGAAGAATGTGACACCTCGCGAGTGTAGACGTGAAAGTGCCGAGACCGCCTACTGGGAGGCTGGACAAACGGTAGTTGGGTCGCTAATTTTGTTTTGATTCGGGAGACTTCACAAGAATTCGGATTGATTAATGGCCTGTGGGACGGACACTTTGAGGTTCTCTCGATGGTTACTCGGGTTATTTCACGCAAACGTAAAACAGATGGTGCGAGTAATCCAGTAGTCGTTGCGCAACTTTTTATACTCGGGAGCCACAAAAGTTGACATTATTTACGAGATGTGGCCACAAAGGTTGTGACACGGTGGAGATGACGAGTTGTCACCACAAGACCATTTCTAACCGTGAAGGATTTAAATTCAACACTTTCCCATTAAAATCCAAAACATCTCTGTGGGCATCCTCCAATAAGAATAACGCTTGACTTCCGAATAATTTCACATCTCGAAAATGTTACAAATCGAATAATTATGCTCAACTCTATGGGTTCGGCTTTGCTTCTTTCAAAGTGGTGGAACTAAAAAAAAAAATTCTCTCTTTTTTAATCATCAGGATGACGAGCCCCCGGAAATCACCTACTGCGTGGTGGAGCAGACGGGCACGCTCACGCTTCAAGCGATGACGCCGACGCTGCCTATGCCGGCGGAGGAGGAGCTCAACAAGATGTTCCTGGAGCTGGTCGAGGAGCTCGACCTCACCCAACCGAATCGGCAGGCCATGCTCGCTCTACCCGCGAACAAGAAATGGCAGATCTACTGTTCGCGGAAGGGCAACGGCACCCTCGAAAACGGCGGCCTCAGGACGACCGATCTCAGCGGCGACCCGGAGGACTACATCAACCGCGTCAAGTCCATAGCCATGGTTAGTTGAGAAAAGATTTTCTTCGTGTAATCTTAAATAATGATGAATTTCGATGTCCTTGCAGAACTTGAACACCGAAGAGCCCGAGGAAATAGCGAATCAAATAAGGCACGTGGAAGCTTTGAAAACGGCACTCCGAACGCAACCCCACAGCTTCGTCATCAGATTTATCGAGCTGGATGGCCTGAACACACTGTTGCAAGTATTGGAAGTCATGGACGTCGAGGCAGCGGACAGTAATCTCCACACGAGCGTCATCGGATGCTTGAAAGCCTTGATGAACAATTCCGTAAGTCTGGATTTCCGTTGAATCTACTTTGATCCAAGCATTGGCTATGATTTATTAATTTTTTTCTAACCCATCATTTTACAGAACGGCAGAGCGCACGTACTGGCACATCCAACGGCCATAAACACGATATCGCAATCACTGGCGACCGAGAACATCAAAACAAAGATCGCCGTGCTTGAGATCCTAGGTGCCGTTTGCCTCGTACCGGGTGGCCATCGAAAGGTCCTCGAGGCAATGCTACACTTCCAGCAATATTATTCGGAACGCACGCGCTTTCAATCCATTATCAACGACCTTGACAAGAACTTTGGAATCTACAGGGACAATCTGTCCCTTAAGACTGCGATCATGTCATTCATCAATGCAGTACTAAACTACGGCCCCGGACAAGTGACCCTTGAATTCAGGCTGCATTTGAGGTACGAACTACTGATGCTGGGTATCCAGCCAATCATTGAAAAGCTGAGAAAGTACGAGAACGAGACGTTGGATCGGCACTTGGATTTCTTTGAAATGGTGAGGAACGAGGATGAGAAAGAGTTGGCAAGAAAATTTGAAAAGGAACACGTGAACACAAAGAGCGCTACCGACATGTTTGACCTGCTGAGGCGAAAGCTCAGCCATACAGCAGCCTATCCCCATCTGCTCAGTTTACTCGAGCATTGTTTGTTACTGCCATGTACGTGTTGCTAAATTTAAAAAAAATATTTCCTCAATGTTTCTCTTCGTTGGTCCAACCTTCGTTAATTTGGAATTTTCATCTGTTTTCAGTAAATTATGGCTCGTTTCCACAATATTGGTTGCTCTTTGATCGAATCGTACAACAGATCGTCCTACAATCCGAAGGTAACAAAGCCAACACAACGAGAAATCCAGACGTTGCACCGATTGACATCAACGTCAAGGAAATCGTTCATTTGTTGGCCAAAGAAGAGGAGCTCGTTGCTGCGCGAAAAAAGGCTGATGAGCTCGAAAAGGAAAATTCGGACCTGTCCAGCAGATTGGCAAAGAAGGAACAGGAGTTGGACTTACGAACGCAAGAAAAAGTAATTACCGCCATAGTCATGATAATTCTGTTCTTGTTGATTTAAAAAATATACGTATGAGTCGTGTTAACAATTTATTTGAAACACAGGAAGACATGGAGGCGAGTCTTGCAAGAACCAAGGAACGGCTTGAAAAAGAAACTTCCTTGCACATAGAGACTAAACAGAGAATCTCAGAACTGCAGGACAGTATAGAGACGCTCTCGCGCCAGGTGAATAACGAAAAGTCAGAAAGAAAACGTCTGGAGCAACTGGTAGCATCTGGTAGTCTACCAGACGATGCTAAAGCTACAATTAAGATCGTGGATGATGAGGTTTTGGAGAAAGTTGAGGCCAAATTCGTACCACCACCGCCCCCTCCACCACCTCTAGCACCCCCACCACCGCCACTGATGATGCCATCAGCGCCACCTCCGATGAAGGTAAGTCCTCGTAGAGTTTTATAGTCATTCGATAGGCTGAAAGACTCGATCTTAATCTAATTACATGGGATTTCATGACTATTTCAGGTGGAAATCATAAAGAATGTTCCTCAATCAAGTAATCCATTGAAATCATTCAACTGGTCAAAGATACCCGAACAAAAACTGCAAGGTACCATTTGGTCAGAGTTGGATGACTCGAAGCTGTACAACGTCATGGATCTGGAATCCATCGACAAAATATTTTGCGCCTACCAAAAGAACGGAGTATCCACCGATGGATCGATCGAAGACTTGCGAAGTCTGGGCAAGAACAAGAAAACCATGTCGGTGATTGATTCAAGGCGAGCACAGAACTGCACAATTCTCTTGTCAAAGTTAAAAATGTCCGACAACGACATAACCAGAACGATTCTGTCAATGGATCAGCAAAACATTTTGCACATCGACATGGTTGAGCAGCTACTCAAATACATTCCGTCGTCCGAAGAAGCCGCTCTGTTGGACATGAACCAGAAGGATCTTCAGAGTAGAGCAGACTGTTTCTTATACCAAATATCAAAGTCAGTATCTTTATGACAAAATCGGTTGCAATGACACATCTTTTTAATGGAAAGACTCTCTAAATGACCATTTTTCCTCCACTTGCAGGGTTCCACACTACGAGCAACGATTACGCTCGCTGCACTACAAAAAGAAATTTTCCGCGAGCATAGCTGAACTCACTCCGCGTATGCGAGCCGTTCTCGAGGCATCGCGTCAAGTAACTCTTTCTCGCAAACTCCGTAAGCTCCTTGAGCTCGTTCTAGCTTTGGGTAACTACGTCAATCGTGGCAACGCACGAGGCAACGCATGTGGATTCCGTCTAGCTTCGCTCAATCGATTGGCCGACACCAAATCCTCGTGTGCCAAAGGAACTACTCTATTGCACTACCTGGTTCAAGTGCTGGAGTCACGATTCCGAGAAGTTCTTGACATCGAGTCAGACATGCCGCAGGTGAGAACAGCCGCGAGGGTCAGTATGGTCGACCTGCAGAAGGAAGTGGCGAATCTCAAGAATGGATTGCAAGATGTCCAGAGAGAGATCGGTAAGTTTTTCTTTTTTCCTTTGGAACACTGATTGAAGTCTTTGATGCTCCTAGTTGAAGCAATAAGATCCGAAACACTGGTACATATTAATTCCTTTTCAAATAGCTATGATGGATATGATGTATCATTTCAGAATTCCACCGAGGACAGGTGCAGACAATTCAAGGAGACATGTTCCTGCCGTCTATGAGAGATTTCCAGGCTCAAGCCACGTGCAGGCTTGCCGAGGCCGAAGATCTTTTCCAAGACATGAAGACCAGGGTGAGCACATTATTTTTTTACAATTTCTTTATCCATTATACCATTCTAATTTCATATGATTAAAAATTGCCAATGTTCCGAACAGTTCGACAGAGCCGTGCGTCTCTTTGGCGAGGATTCAGCTGGCATACAACCTGACGAATTTTTCGGTATATTCGAGAACTTCCTGCAAGCCTTCATAGAGGCCAGAAACGAGGTCGAGAGCATGAGGAGAAAGGTCGAAGAAGATGAACGTCGAACCAAGCAAGAACAAGAAGTAATTGACACTTGATGCACATTGCTGCTATTCTTGCCGTTATTGTTACCATTTTCATGTTTGCTAAATTGATTTTATTCGTCATTTCAGTTGAAAAAACGTACGATGGAGCGTAAAAACTCGCGCGAAGGCATCCTCAATAGCATCGCTCTAAACAAGAAGAACGAAGCCAATGGCACGAATGGCCACGGTGACAGCAAAGGCGAGTTCGACGACCTGATTTCGGCATTACGTACGGGTGACGTTTTTGGCGAAGACATAGCTAAATTCAAGAGGTCGAAACGCCGGCCTGTGACACCGAGCAGTGCCGCTAGTCAAGAGTCGCGTCGGCACAGCGCACACCGTGAAGACTCACGCGAGAGACACTAGATACGAGGTGTCATATGTCAGACCATTCGTAAATCCTAATGGAGCGCTAAACAATGTTTTTCATTTGACATGAGGTTCATCTAGTTTTATTCGAATGTTATCTATCTGATCGAACGAAGATTTTTTACTTTTTCATTTATACGGTAGAGTTGACATTGACACGTCTTTTTAGAAAATGTGGAGACTTAATGGATGCACGTGTATAATTTTCGTTAATAACGTTTTAGGGAATACAAAAAACCGACACATTAGTCTTAATGTATGTTAATGCTATAGTATACGATAAATTGTAATTTTTTCATACGGATTGTTGTACGGATAACTTTGATTACAAATGGTTTGATTAACAATACTTATTTTTTAACCAATTCATGATCCATCAGTGTTACGATTTTTAATAAAAATCGATGAAAATATTTCGTAGAAAGGAATTAGTCAATAGTTAGTATTACATAAAAACGCCGGTAGCATAAAAAGTCCGAGCCCCTCGACGGTATTAAAGACTGGGCGATTTTTTTTATCTAGTGCCAAGAATTTGGAGGATCAAACGTCGCAAGTAACACTCCGATTCATCACACTTGTCAGAATTAATGGTGTTGAGAAATTGGTTGTAGTTTTCAGGTGGATTTGTAATATTATATGATATAATCATTCCCGTCAAACGTGAGAGTCCTCCTGTATATATATTTTTTTTTTTTTTTTTTAATTTTCATAAATAAAATAACTTTTTACACAACTAGCATGTAAAACAATTTTTCATCACATAAAGCATTTGTTCTCTGTTAACGTTGATTTTTGTTATACCACGTTGCTTATTAAAAGTTCAATTGATAGCACTTTCGTAAAATCAATATTGCTAGCTGAAATGAAATGCATCTTTTAAAAACCGGTGAATAAGTAACCGCAACACAAACATTTCAGCTCTGATTTATGTCCAGAAGATAAACGACCGACGGTTTTGTCTGTACGTGATATTTACATTTCAATTGTACATATAGTCATTATTCTACACATGTACCATATACATCACCTTTACATTTTATGCAGCATGTTACTTCCTTTTTCAAACCATATGTTATTTTCTCATTTATGTAACATATGAATACTTTGTTTCTCGTTCCAACAAGACCTTTATACGAATTTATTTATTATTTCTAAAGAAAAATGTATTCTCAGTGCATTCCGAAACATTGCGCGGCTGTTTAATAAAACAACAATCTTTATTTGCTTGGTAATATGAGCAGTGTCCGACTAGATATACCATTAGACCAGCGCATTAGGTTTTTCTATGGTTTATGTTAGTAATGTTTGACTAGCACTACCTATAAAGTTAATTTTGCGGAAGGATGAAAGTTTTTAATAAAATTACACGTTCACTGAAAGCATTGAATAGTATTGTGAGGAAAATTATAAAAAAAAGTAATTGGACGTCCGATGTCCGTTACTTCACATGTTATTTTACCACACTTACTTCCACATATAGTGTCTCCGTCAATTTTTCGTTGATATAATAAAGAAAAAAAACGTATTCAATACTTTTTACTGACTTACCTAAAAAATCCAATATCGTTAGATTTTTTTTCGTGTAACATCTCTTTTGTACTTATAATAGGTTGTATATGTCTGTAATCATATTTTTAAGCGCATTGACCCACGTTTATATTGTGTAAACAGGCATACGTCATTTTCCGCAAAAACAAAAGATTCATATTAAGTACATGCTAAACAAAAAAAAATACAGCTCTAGCACTAAAATGTTACAAAATTTTTTATTTCAATTGCAAATACTTTGTGTATCATATCAGACAATCACACAAGTTTATTAAAGATCATCTCCCTCTTTGTGCAGTTCTAAAGGCCACAGATGCTAGCGCTACTTTTAGTAACTCAATCATTACAAAAATAACAATAAACATCGATAACCTGAAAAACAATAATGTGTTGGTACAACGGAATTAAAATAAAATTTTTATACAGGTATCATCAATTTCTTAGATGCGTGTAGCTCGTCGAATGTAGCCATAGGTGATTTAACACACAAAATTTTGGAGCTTTTAGTTGCAATATTAACAGTTGAAATAACTTAATTCATATGCAAAATTATTCATATCAAAACGAGAAATCATTTTTCAACACAAAACAACTGGATAATTGGTTATTGCAGTAAATGAAATTAAATGGAATCTGTTAACGTTCGTGTACGTTGGTTGCACCAATAGCGATAAAGTCAAAATGTTGAAAATTGGACCAAATAAGCCCACGCATGAATTGTATTCTTAAAACTGAAAAATAAGAATCATATAATTATTATCATGATAATATGATAGAGACAAATAAGTGTAACGAAGCCGTTAGTTGAAGACGTAACAATAGCAAGGCCTATTTATATAAATTAGTTGATAAAAGGATAATTACACGTTCGTGAAAAAGGAACTTGGATAAAAGTCTGAATATGTATTATTTTAAAATACAATGAGTAAATTGACGATCACTTATGAATAATATATATATATAAGAGCAAAATTAAAGGCAGCTCGTAGATTTAACGGAAAGTAGATAGAGATGTAAAGGATTTTAAGATAATTAAATGTGTAGATGAAAATGTTCTAGTTGAGATATTGAATGTCTCCGCGTTAAGTAGAAGTTAATGTTTTATATAGCTTTTTGTACTTTTGTAAATATGCAGTTTATAGATATTTAAATATTTAGTTTTCGCGAGGAATCAATAGTAAAATAAAATTTATGTCCGATCATATATTATAACATCGATAATATTGCATAAAAATATATATGTATTAAAATATTCATAAAAAAATATAACTAATGTCGATATTATTTTAGTCTTAATGTATTTTGTCGTTTGATTATTTCCTAATATCCAATCTCAAGTCGCAGTTAATGATGAATTAAAAGCACATTAAATATAGCTTTAAAATATTTCATGAAAATTAAGCCAATATACTATTGAATAACGTCAGTTGATTACGTTTTTTTATTACAGGAATTTAAAAACCATTACGTTTGAACTAAAATTAACTTATTTAATGTTCAACAGTTAATTAGTTTTTAAATGATTTTTAATATAAAACTAACTTTGTGTCAACTGTTTATTGAATTTGCTGGTTACGATAATTTTTATTATTATTAATGAAATACTTAAGTTGGTAAATAAATCAGAGATTTACATATTAAGCTTCTGTTAGCCCATGCGTTGACTAAATAGATACCTACAATATCACTTCTAGTTAAGAAGTATAATATAATATGTAATTATTTATAACAAATGTTGTAAGATTTTTCATTAACTTATTTACAATTAACAAAAATTATTTAAAGTGTTTTGAAAATGTTTAGTAGCTAAATAAAAATAAGTACATATTTTATTAATTGTTTTCAACTTCAAGTACTCTTTTCTTTAAGTAAAAGTCTAAAGATGTCGCTAGTCGTATTAAAGCGCAAAAATCTGCTTTAGATACTAAGGCTGACATATTTTGAAATTAAGTTTATTTTGATATCTTTCAACGATGAGAGTATTCAAAAATTGTGCAAAAAAATTTTTGCGATGGTTTATTAAAAAAAAATCATAAACAAAAGTTAAAATCAGAAAAGATATTTTATTTTTCTTGTCTAAGTCTTTAAATTTTCATAAAATTAAGAATATCATGAAAATAAAATTAAAAATACCTTAAATTCATCATAGTAGCGTTTATTTGTTATCCTTACGTGAATATGTATGCACCCAAAAGAAAAAGAAGAAAAATTCGATAAAATTATTACGTGAGTTGACATACATTTACTTTTCCTCGACTCTTTAAAAAAAAAAAAACAAGTCTGGATCGATTGACTTACACGTGATAATAAAATGAGGTCAATTATCATAGGCAATGCAGTAAATCAAAGACAACAAGCGATATTTTGTTCAGAAACTTTATTGTTTACGTACACTAGCCGACTACTATGCATGCGGTTCGTCGCAAGCGTTCGGACACGATTGGAGTATACTTTTCATTTTCAATCATCTCAAAACAAAGTCCGTGACACTTATGCGCTCGAATTCCGTAACATTTTCATCATTATCATTATTATTTCATCATACAAGCCATTTTTTCTCTCTCACAAAATGACAGTAGTTTCTTATCTCGTTGACCTCGCGGTTTTGTTTGTGCTTGTATTTGTCCATTATCAATAACTCACTTTTTTTTAATTCCTTTCATCATTTTATTTTTCTTCATTTTCAGAAAAACTTTTTTTTATGGTTAGGAAAATCGGGATAGGTAATTTGCTTTTTTTTTTTAAATTATTCCTTCTGAAATATAGTGCATAACATTAAATTTTATAATCTAGAGAGTGTAATCGCATCGAAGCGCTCGACTTTTCGTAATATTTTTATAATGAGAGAAGCAGTCTTTCTGTTATAATTTATTTACTTCTTTGTATGCCTTTTTATAATATCCGTTTTATTGAATTACAAATGCTAATTCATCATTTAAAAAATAGTACAAAATAACTGATACTTTTATTGTTTCATAGGACAAGGTAAACATAACGTTGACAAGAAATATAATTCACTAAGTGCATTTTTTTTCATCGTTTATGGGGTAAATTAATTGTTTTTTTTTTTTTTTTTTTTAAATAAATCTTTCACATTTAAATTCGGCAAATATCGATGAGATCATAAGATACTTTGACAATAGTTTTCGCTGGTAAAATAAACAAAAATTGCTCACATGGATGGATGAAAATTATTGGATAGGAGAATTTTTAAGTACGCATACAGCCGACCGCAGATCATCAAACATCTCTGCACGTAAATTTCGATTTCTAGGCTTAAAAATTTTCAATAAAATAATACCATACAATCTTCTTTTTTTCTGCAATGATAAAATATTTTATAGTTTAATAATAAAAATAATAAAAAATTAAAATATCAAATAAACATCACAATAATGTACAAAATAGGCTATTATACGCGCGACATAATATAAACGAATCGGATGGAAAAAAAAAAAATTGTATATCATCTACATAAGGAAAAACTCGCCTGAGCACATACATCAAACAGAAAATTTGTTCGCCCCGAAGCGAAGTGGCCACATATATTTTTTTTTTCATATTTTATAATCGTATTTATAATATTTATGTACACAGTGAACGGTCATAGGCAATGTGGAGAAACGAAATATTATGATAGCCTAGATTCGTTCCTCAATGATTCGTTTGACATTGAAACGAAAAAAAAAAAAAAAAATCATTGTTACTAAGAAGAGAAAGAGAGAGTGAGAGAAAGAGAGCTCTGTGCTCGAAAATTCGTTGTTCTCGAGCAAGCCAGGCTTCGATTAAAAAGTATACAGTGGCCCTTACAGCGTTAAAACTTACGTCGATATATTGCACATTTGACAACAGTTAAGTTTTATCCCTCGTTCCGCGTTGTCTTTCAATTTTCTTTCTTACTAAGTACTCGTGTAGTTGTAGGAAGGTTTTTTTCTTATTTTTTTTTTTTTTTTTTTCTTAACCTCCCTCCTTTTATTATTAATTTTGTCTTACAATGTATTTCTCACTTGTCACTCACTCGCACCAACGAAAAAACACTCGTCTACTTGCACTCCTCATATAATATTTGTATTCTCTTAATTTATCATATATAATATTCAATTCGACTTGTGTCCTATACATTTTTCTTTAGTTTTATATTTTTATTTTTATTTTTTTTCATTCCAACGCGCGTCTCAAATTTGCTCGAATTAACTATAGCAAACTCCGTATTGTAGACACGCATTGCAGCTGCCTTTCAAAATCACTATATGCAATTTTATATTTATATATTTATATATANNNTAAGAACGAAAATGTAGTTTATATATATTAATCAATAGGTACTTCTGACATCATTCGATGTGTAATTGTTTCTCACTTTTTTTCCAGTCGTACTCCTTGTTTTATATTTATTTTTTTCATTCACAGGTAAAAGTATGGAAGAGCACGCGCATTACATTCGAGACATTGCTCCGGTTCGTCAGCTAAAATCATCATAATTTATTTTAATTTTTCGTAGCCACACATTGGTGTTTTGCGCATTTGTGTGTCAAAGTTGTCACTTTTTGCACTAACGCGTGAAAAAGCATTCAAAGCCAAAATCTTCACGCGAGTACCGAAAAAACATAATACACATACTTGTGCACGTAGTAATTGTCACACTCGTGCAAAAATCAAATGCTTTGTTCACTTGTATACTATTGAAGTAAAAAAAATATTTTGCAAGTATAAAGGAGAAAAAAACAGCCGAACGAGTTGATAACGCGCGCGTTCCTTCGTCTTTCTTCATTGTTCGAATCGATGAAACGTATCGGAGGGCATTCGTTGATTTAATTTCTGCTCTCTGCATACTCGTTTGAAAAACTGGTTAAACGAGGCACGCGAGAAAATCGAGGTATAAAAAAAGAAAAGTGATTTCGTTGATTTGCAATTTTCAAGGGAACTCTCGGAAAATCTCGTGGAAAAAAAAAATCAAGCCCCACGATTCCTTTGAAAAATCAGCGCTTGCCCTGAAAAAGTTTAAAGAGTAATTTCACGAAAGTCGGAGAGGCTTTGAGCCAAAGACAAAGGGAGAGGATGGAAGCGTCAAAGGGACTCGTTGTCATTATCTCTCGTAAGCCGATTATCGCAGATCGTTTCCTGTACCACCCGATCCTCATTTTTCGCCTCGATTTTCCACTCGTTATGTTCCCCCTCCATCAACTCCACTCTTTCTTCCGCTTCTTCTCGTTCTCTTCAATTATCCTTTGCTCATGGAATGTGATCTCTTTTTCGTTGCCATGTGTCTTTATCATCAGTACGTGGCTCGCGAGCGTGTACGTTTGGAAGAGACGTTGATTTATTTTTTAATTTTTTTTTAGATAATATACTTTCATTGGGATCATAATATTGCATCGGATTTTTCTTTTTCTTCAAGTACTGCGTATCCTACACTTTTTTTTCTTTTTTCGAAATAGAGATTCATCGACGAAATGTACATTCACAACGCATTTTTATATTTACACGCACATCATTCGTGTCTTACTAAATACTGACTTGATTCAATCATGTTTTTTTTCCCCATAAAAATACTAATAATACTAATAATACCCAAAGACAAAAAAACATAAACAACACAAATATTTCTACGGTGTAGGAAAAATCCTTACAAAATGTGAAATTCTATTCCGAAAAAATACTTGCTTCATACGTTCTTCCTGAGTTTTTCGTTGCACCAAACGTGACAGTATAAGTTGCGCCATGACTCAAATGAATTTCTACCTAGTCGTCGCTCAAAATTCACAAAACTCCAAACTACAATTACCTAAAGGACTACGAACGACGATAAATTTCAATCCATGACTCGAAAAGTACACTAATAGGTGGGTGGGAGTGCAAAAAAATCGGCTCGAGCGAAGATACCGATTTTCTGCCGCTCCTTCTTGCAAACGAGAGAACAGAGCGTCCGTGTGTGTACACCGAGGCGACAGCATCCAGCGCAGTCGGTGCAAGGATGCGAGCTCGCGATGACACGCCTGTGGTTTGGTTGATTCGACTTTGAAGTTCGTCTCGGGTTGAGACAGAAGTCGCTGCTGGTTTTTTCTTCTCCCCTCGTGGGCTCGAGCAGGGACGCTTCTGTAATCAACGAAATGAGATTTTCCACATGGATTATTTTTATCATCGTGGAATTTTTTCAGAGCAACTATCATGTCACCTTGCAATTATTTTTTCAAATATATCAGAGAAACATCGGTTTCAGTAAATAAAATAATAATCGCATGAGAGTCACGATTTTGCACAGTTTTACAGAATTACTCCATCAGTTATGGTACATGCAAGTTGCAACACATTCTTATCTTTTTACTATACAAAATAATAATGACGAACGAAACAGTGTCAATTGACAGCTTTAATAACAATTGTATTGTGTCAATGTATGCGGGTTTCGAGTTGAAAAGATCAAGAGACACTGATCTGTCTTTATCATTTGACCGATTTCAATCGATCGATCGAGAATAACAGTGTACAGATTAAAAAGAAGTTCCGAAATTGAACACTTGCTTGATTTTAAGTAAAAAAAAAAAAAAACTGATTTCGTGTGAAAAACTATTAAATAAGAAAAAAAATGATGATACCTTTAAACGGAAGCGCGAAGCGAGCCCGCCCCAGCGAGCGCCGAGGCCGTCGAGTAGGACGTCGTGCCGGGCGTCCCGCCGGCGGTTGGCTGCATGCTAAGCTGCAACTGGTGCTGCTGGGCCTTTGCCCTCAGACAAGCGATGCTCTCATTCCTCAGCTGCTCGGTGTCTTGAACGACTCCTGTTTGTTTGGGGGAAAAAAAAAAAAAAAAAACTTGAGTATAATGGACACAGCTATAGCAATTGGAGGTCACAAGGGAGGATGCACTCACCGGAGGCGGCCGAAGGTCCCATGCCGTCCTGGCTCTCCTGGCCACTCTCCGAGCTGGTGGGACCGCCCGGGTAGTGGTTAGGGTGCGAGGGACTGGCCGAGCCGCCGGGATGGTCGTTGCCGCTGTCGTCACCCGACTTTAGGTGCTCCGCTGCCTCGATAGACTTGCGGTGCATCCCTAGGGGGGGACCACAGTCAATCAGTTCGCTTAGTCGTTTACGTTCGTTATCATCTTGGTTAAAGCCGCTTGTCTTTGAGGATTGCGCTGATGGACGAGATGTGTGTGTGTCACGGAGGTAGAGCGTATTGACGCGCGGGAGCAAGCGACAAACAGAACAGAGACACACAGGTTTGCCGGGGGTTAGATATCTGTTATTTTCCTGTTTTTTTGTCTTTTTTTTTTTTTCCTTTCATCATTATGGTTAAAGATCTTTTTTCGTGGTGATGGTTGGTAAAGCGTTTTTACTCTCCTTTTATATACGTATATTATCTCTCGTCATCGCAATCCTCACAAACAACGTTTGAATTTTGCGATAAGCTTTCATTGTTTTTTTTTTTTTTTTTTTTTTTTTTTTTTTTTTTTTTTTTTTTTTTTTTTATTCTACCTTTCAGCACATAGAAACTCAACAGCGAAAAACATGCGTCTCTCTTGGTCATCGAGAGCAGTAGATCTAATTTAATTCATAATTAGCGATGAAAAATGCAATCACAACATAAACGGAAAAGTAAAAAACGTTTTATCAAACAATCTTTGGTTCAATGACGTATATTTCAAAACAATAACAACCACAATAAAAATATCAATTGGCAAGCAAAGCGTACTGTATCATTTTCCATGATACAAAAAAAAAAGACACAAATTATGAATGTCGAATGGAAAGAAAAAAAAAAAAGTAAATTACCGAGTAGCCAAGGGGCGACGGACTCGTTTTCCTTGGCGCTCTTGAGTATGGTCTCGGGCAGCGGCAGCGAGTGTCTCACCATAGCCCCGTACAGCCCGTACTCCGCCATTATGGTGCTCCTGCCCCAGCATTTCTCGGTCTTGCGCCACTTTGCCCTTCGATTTTGGAACCAGACCTGAAACATGTGCCAGACAAACGTTCTTTGATTAATTCTGAGGTATTAAGAACGAAAATGTAGTTTCAAAGGGTAAAAAAAAGATATCAAGACTCTGGGAATATTAATTGATTTATCTTTTGATTGATATTATTTTTTGTACAGTAGTGGAACACAACTAGTAAATAGATCGTAATTCAACTGTAGGAAGGAGAAAAAAATTTGTATAAGAAATATCAGGATATAGGTACACATGAAAATGGAATAACGAGCAAGGATCTCGAAAACAAGGGGATTCCGATTATTCAGAAAGATCCAAAACCATTGTGAAATGAAAAAAACCAATAGCCATTAAATGCCCCACTCCTTGGTATAGCTCTTGGATTGCTCCACAATTGGGTCATTTACCTTATGATACTCCGGAAAAAAATAGATAAATAAAGAGCCCCCACAAAACTTACAATTTTCGCTCAGGTGGGCAAACACGCATTTTCCTCCCGCCCCTACACCACGCGATACTCCCAATTAGCGTGCCTCCCGCCCCCCATTCATAGCTCCAGAGCCAACTAGTCCGCTTTGCCGTGCAATAATTTCCGTGCCATCACCGCACCGCGCGCCAGTCCGTTCGTTATCCCATTTTCCCTATTCTCCTCGTATCGATAAGCGGGAGCGGCTGTATGGGCGGGTCGCAGGACAGCTCCCTCTGCCGGTGAAAGCAGTCGCTAATGATCCCCCCGGTGTACGCGGGATATCAATCGGCTGTGGTCGCGTGCCGCGACCCCCGTCGCCACGCACCTACTGTATACCACGTTGCAAGGCGTATCAATTTTAACGATCGCAAAGTGCTACGTCGTATCGTGTTGTGGCGTTTGTGGTTTGGGCAAAGTTGAGCTTGTGTTGTACACCATACAAAAGCGGCACGCATCAAAGAAAATCGTAATGGGATTCCGGTTGTTGCATTGGCTGCGGGTGTAACCCGGGCCCTATATTGGGTTACAGAGCCATCCGATCCCGTTTTGAAGATTCTTACATGGATATACCCCTACAAATTTTCAAAGGGGGCTCTTTCACGTCCAAAAATCTAAACGGATGGACTAAAAAAAGAGGGAGCCCTTAACCATTGGGCGTCGAAGCAATCTTTTAGCCAGCTCGACTCGTCATCCCCGTGCAACCCCATCGATCGGGGGTGGGTGGGGGAAAAAAAGGTGGCAGCGAAAAATCGTGCCGATCGATCGATCGTGGATGGGCTCGCGGACTTCCACCCTCCCCAAAGGCCGTGTATAGTGTTCGTGACTGTGCCGGGCTTACTGTCTCTCTGGGTTGGAAAGCGCGCCGGAAGAGCTGCGAGAGCAGTAATTCAGTGTAGCTAGCTCGAGGGAGGTGTGCGGGGCGGGGACCAATTTGTAGCGACAATGCCAAAGTCACCGGCAGAATCGGAGCGTAATTCGAATGAATGCGAGAGAGCACTGCCCCGCGTGTGCGTGCGATGGACGGATGGATGGATTGAGAGAGAGAGAGAGAGAAAGCACGTAGTTGCCCTGTCAATTTAGTGCTTGGGATTTTAATGAGCCTGTACAGGATAAAAAAGAGAGAGAGAGAGAAAGGTTTTTTTGGTTGGGTATTATATACGGCTCGTATACGGTTGTTGCACGGGATCATGTGATGGTTTCTACTATTTGTTTGTATTATGTTTATTTTATCAGGACTCAGAGTACAGACACTGTTGATTATCCCAAGATATTTTGCCTTTGTAAAAACATAATTATTGTTTATCTCTCTTTTGTTATCGAAAGCTCGATAAATACAGGTTTAGGTATTGATGGGTTTCTTTTGAGGTAAGGATAGCAGGTAGGACTTTTTCTTATTTTTCAAAAGTTCCATGAGCCATACGATCTTCGTCTCTCAAATGGACACGGGACAAAATGGAAAAGTTGAGGGTCCAAGAATTGTCAGATCACCCGTGGTACTTTGCATGGTCTGTACTTGGTACGTATGGAAATAAAGGACGGGAAAAAAAGGAAACACGTAATTTTCCGCCAGAACCAAGTATATTCAGCACACACCGATGTCTGTATCAGTTTCTCGAAAGTTTTAATTGCCGCGAGGGTGCAAGGAACGTTGGACTTTTCAATTGGACGGTGACGTGAAAACGATGCCACGAAGGAAGGGAGGAAGAAGAAGTTGAATTCCGCATGGAAATAAAGTTCACACTGTGCGTACTGTCGACTTTTGCTTTGTTAGTCGCGTTTGAAAACGGTCGCCCGGTGAAAACTAAGTGACGATTTTCAGTTCAAAGTGAAAACCTACGATCTTGTAGAAGACCATTTCCACTCCTCGTGATTGGCAAGTGAAACAAAAAAGCATTAGCCATCGCCATCGTGTTTTGCTTCTACGAGATTTCCCATTACGGTATGGATATCATGATTATCAATCACCAGCGAGCGTCTCATCGAGCCTACGTGGAAGGAAAAGAAGAAAAGGTAGAAAAAAAAGGGGGGGGGGCTCCAAGAAGGACAGGATGCCCGAGTCTCCCCATTCGCGTTATTTGTATTCACCGGCGATAAAGGCGAGCCGGATGAAGAAAGGACAAAAAGGAAGAGGGGAGGGGGGTGGAATCACAGAAAGCGAGTGGAGGTGGGGAGGAGTGAAATTAGAAAAAGACACTTTGAATGCTAACTGGGAAAAATGAAGAAGTAAGGGGACCAAGGATATAAAAAAAAAGGAGCTGGCTGAGACTGCTCCTACTGTACGACCAAGGGGGAGGAACCTACCAAGGGGCACACAATGTGTATATATATATGTACGTATAAACCGTACTAGGAGTGGGAATTACCGATACGTCGATAAGACTCGTTGGTGTTGGTATGCCTACTCCAGAGGCGCACAATGGGAACTCACGCTGCTCGAGGGGGGATGAGGGCGCTCTGCTCGCGCGCGTACAACGGAGATGAGGCGGAGCGGAGAGGAAGAAAGTTGCGAGCGCTCCTTGATTGTTTCTTTGTGTGCGCGTGTGTGCACGTGAGAGAGAGAGAGAGAGAGCAAAGAGGGGAGTATCACGCGCAGAGGGCGGCCAGTATTGATTGAATGAGTTATTAATGCGTATCCAAGAGTTGCATTGGAGACACTTTGTTTTTCGGTTTGGATTTGACTCTTCGGACGTCTCATACTTTTTTTTTATCTCTCGAAACCAATTGATTTGGCTTGTTCAATTTAATCCTAGAGCTAAAAAAAGTATCACGAGTCTACGCATGGGTCTGATTGAATCGATGGAAATTCAATCACCGATTTTTTGGTAAATACAGTTTTTGTAGATCATCATGGTTGAAGTCACGTATTTGCAACGATAAGCACAGTACTGTCTATCTAGTTATTGACTGGTGACAGTGAACAGCACCCAAATCAATGACCAAATTTTATCCGCTTTAGATGTAGAAAGTGGCAACTATTGAGTCATTGAAATGTCCAACGTGGCTCAAGATTGTGACTCTTTTATCGTTGGATCACATGAATTCATAGGTCCGGAAAACATCCAAGTACCCAATGAGCGATCGAAGGTGGCCACCGCATACTTTTACCGCCTACATATACTATCAATACCCAACCACACCGAAACATCAATCATCAGCGGCTGTGAGATGCATAACTACAGGTGCACCTCCCATGACTGTACCTAATAGTAGCATGGATCGAAGGAAAGGAGATCCTTCGTGTCATAAGTATAGAGCCTGTGGTATCAAAACCAAAGTACTTGATCCTCGTGCGCACAAAAAGAAGAGTCAAAGGTGTCACACGTATATATATAAGCGTGGGGGAGGGGGGGGGGGGAAAAAAGGTTCCTCTTCCCATCGGCGCGTCGCATTCTAAGGATCATCTTCCTCCTCGTCGAGGGGAAAAAAACAGTACGCACAAAGAGGAGCGCAGGAATTATCGAGTGGTACATTCTGGGCCGTGAATCCAAAGCAAAGGGGTGCGGGATAATTATCGAAAATCGCATTACCGGTTGGTCGCAACGACTACTTCAATTTGCGATCGGCCGATAATGAAGCTCAGCCCCCCCCCCCCAACCCTTGGTAGCTGTAATCCGGTATTTTCTTCCCCTTTGGCATATTTTCCCTTCCGATCACTCGATAAGTACGTGTTGCTTGTCTCTTTCTTTCTGTATATCCTCTGTCAATATCCGGAGAGCGACGAGTGTCGCAACGCATGGGACTCCCCGATCTCTCTCGCGGTGATTATATATATCGCGATTAGCACGAGTCCGATACATGCAATACACGCGTTTTTCTTTTCTCCCCTTCGAGGATCTCATGTATTTTCTACACGCGTATAATCGAAAATACGCGTCCTCGTTAGTATAATTAAAAATCAAAGTGGATACATATACATACATGCGGTGGGGTATCGGCAGGTTGTCTTTCAATAAGGGAGTCACGCGACTCGAGATTTTGTGAAATAATTAATAGGGAGTGATGCTCCCGACGAAGCGTAATATACATACTGTTTAATTATTGATTTCTCATCGAAGCAAAGAGTCGTTGGGGGGCGGGGGTGGGAAGCCATTGATCGAAAAGTGTACGCGTGCGTGCACGAGCGAGAGAATAATTAATTGATTTTACGGCGCGGATCTAGTCTGACCCAGTTTAAAATTATTTAATTACAATTATATCGATATGATAACGATGATGATGGCCGGGGTGGGGTGATTCGGTGGAGACACGTCAGAGTAATTAATTTATCCAAATTTTTTCTTCTCATTGTTCAATTTGCAAGAAATCTGGGAAGTACAGGCTTAAAAAATATCGTTTCTTTTTCTCTTTTTGTAACCCTACATCACCTTATTTTTCTACCCTTAAAATTTTTCCATCGACCCCAATAACTTCATCGTCCAATAGACGGGGAAAGACGACGTGCCCCTCTTCGGTGTATTTATCGCCCTTAGACGCAACCATGATTTATCCGATAATTCCCAAAACTTCCGTGTCCGTGTGCACACAACAGAAGCGTATAATAGGCCACACAAG